TAGGGATATGGTCACAGCAGCTACAGACACAGGGAAACCTTAGGTAAGAGTGACAGCCACTGCGCCCTGTTTAGCCATCACCCTGCCTGTCGGGGCAAACTGAAGCATCCAATGGCAACTACAGAATGGCGCCTTGGCCTGAAAAGGGGAGACACCTAGGCTGGAGCAGAATGCAGAGGGCTAGTGTGAGAGCCGACGAGACACGGTGTGAGAGCGGGGATGGGGCCCGGGACCTCACCAGAGTATTCAGCTCCTAGAGCACACACACTTAAGCTCCACTTCCCAGCGTTGTTGGAAGCACACACATTAACACACAGAAACATTTGTTCTGCGGAGGCTACTTCCAGGGGAAAACACCCCACGCAGGGACAGAGGAAGAACTTTCAGGTACTGGGTGCCCCAGGACCATGGGGTGGGGGAAGAAAGGAAGAGCAGCCCGGCCATGCAGACTCGGGCAGGGAGCAGAGGGGCAGGGCCCCGGAAGAAGAGGGCCTGGGGTCCAGGCCGGCAGCCTGGGGAGGCGGCTGCTGCAGGGCTGAGGCCTGTGTGTGTCTTTTGCCTTCAGTGGGAAGGATTTCAGGGAGACGTGCAGAATCTCAGGGCTGAAAGGGACCCTGCTGCTACTCTCGTCCACTTTACAAATGAGGAAGAGAATTTCAATCATTTCCCCAGAGGCCCCAACCCTTAGGCTCTGTATCTATGTAATCGCACTGGCACCATACTCCCCACCCTGTGTCACTTGGGGCTGGCAACACGTGGGCACGGGAGGAGGAGAGCGGCGAGTCTGGTGACAGAGGGGCCACTGGGGAGAAGCTAGGGGTCCACGTCCTCTGTCAGCCCAGGCGACTAGCTCCTCTACCCCTGCAACGACCGTGGGTGGGCAGGGGTGTCACTTTTCCCCAGAGACCAGCAGTCCCTCTCTCTCCAGACCCCTGTCTTAGAGCTGGGCCTCCAGAAGTTGTCCCCAGGCCTGGGCCTCCTGCGGGCACTGCCAGCCTCAGAGCAGCTCTCTTTGCAGTTTCCAGCCCTGACAGGGACTCTTTCTTGCAAGCAGTCATGTGCTAGGGGTACAGCACATCAAAGGAGGCCCACGCCCTGCCTGGAGGGGACCAGACCCCGGGACCAGACCCCGGGCACAGACGGGGTGAGTTCAGGCAGCAAGCCCTCCACTCCCACCTTCTCAAGAGGGTCTGACGCCATCAGTTCCTCCCCCGCTCCAGTTCAAACCGAGCCATTCCCCCTCCTCACTTCTCCAATGAAAACAAAATGCACATTGCCCCGCTTCCTTTTTCCTCTCACAGGAGCACTGGGTGCATGCACACATGCACATACACATGCACATACACGTGCGTGCGCACCCCAGTGTGTGCACACCTCACCTCACACTCTCAAACTCACACCCAGGTCTGGCTCCTTTTACAACAGGTCCCAGCCACTCACATCTCAAACCGGTTCTCATGCTCTCGGATTCCTGAAGGTTTCAGAAAACAGTCTCATTTAGGGGTTGCCCATAACTTTCTTCTTTCTCTGCCTGTAGTCACTCTGGCTCCCCCGTCCTCTACTCCCCTCTCTCTCATTCCACCCTGCAGGGACTCAGGAGATGAAGGGTAAGAAGTAGAAAAGTTCCCTAACCCCACCCCCAGGGGACATGTCACTGAGAGAAGAGAGGTCAAAGGGATTCCTGAGGAATTTCTAAGCAGTCCAGCCCCTCTCTGCCCTCTGGACAAGGAGGGGGTGCTTAGAGGGAAGACCAGGTTCCGAGAGTGGGGACTGACTCCCCAGTGTGGCCTGGAGGGGGCGCGGGCATCAGCCGGCTGCCCATGGGGCCACCCTTGCCCGCTGACACGGTTATGGCTTTCATTTCATATTTTGGAGGGAGGGGCTAGGAGGAACAGTCCCCTCACTGTAAGGGCTGGCCACAGCAGCCCAGGGAAGCCAGGAGGAGAGGAAACAGCCACATTAAAGAGGAAGAAAGGGGTGGGGGAAAGAGAGACACACACAAACACCCAGAGAGAGACCCGGACAGACACACCGACACAGAGAGACACTGTGTGCTGCCAGATGAGCGCTCTCGGTCCCCGGGATGGAGTTACTTGGAAATTCTGAATACACAACTTTATCAAAATTCTGCCCCTAATGAGGAGAGAAAAACAACCAGGTGAACCGATGGGCCAGGCAGGCTCTCCCTCCCGGAGCCCCTCCTGGGGACGAGTTTTCCCTGAGGCCAGGAGACCTTTCCACTCAGCTGTAACCTGAGCCCTACACCAGGATTAGGCCTTTTTAACCACTGCTGCACCCCCCTCCCCAAAGCAAATTAATGCTTTTAAGTTAACAATTATCTTGGTTATCCAGTCTGTCTACTTTAAAATACTCAGACAGGCACTTGAAAAACACTCAAAACCATGTACTCTCAGGCTCAGTCACCCCAGTCACAGAGCTTACCCACCCACTCACCCACCACGGCTCTCAAAGACACTAAAACATCCTATTCACCCTCAACAACTAAGTCACAATTTACACAGAGGCCCACCTGTGTTACCTGTGGGTGATCCTGGTGAACCTCGCCCCCCTCCACACACACACACTTCCACCTGCACACTCAGGGTCCCTTCCCTGTCCTTCCCCTCCTCCCCATTCTGCATCACTTTGGTCCCCCGCCCCGTCCCCCCACAATCTCTGGAGAAAAGGGACAAAATCCAGACATCACCAGACATATGGTAACAGTGAAAGATACTTGCCAAGGGTATTTGTATTTTCAAGACCCGCTAAAGCTTCATTTAAAAGCACGTGGCACTAACGGCACACTTTATGGAACCGGCGACACTTAGGAGACATTTGGGAGCGACGGAGGTCCGCAGCATTCTTTGTCTGTGGGTAAGGCTGCCCTGCTCAGTCAGTACCTGTCCTGCCTGCGGCACTGGCCTGCACATTTGGGTCCAGAGACACCCCTGTAACTCAACAAACATATTGTTTAGAAATCTCTGGCAGGCTAGGTTGATAAATTTCCTGAATATCTGGGTCAAAGGTAGCTGAAATGACAGGCTGCAGTTCTATGCCCAGCTAGACTCGGGATCAGTAGGAAGGAAGAAGCAAAGTGAACTACAGCCCAGGCAGAGTAAAGTGGCCCCAATGCGAGATAAGCAGAGGACAAAACTCTAAGTTCCTTGAGGGCAAGGACCTCCGCTCTGGCTGCATTTCCCACAGCAGCCAGCAGGGTGTCCCAGGAAGGAGTGAGCCTCCAGGTACCATGGAGGGATTCTGAGTCCTCCTGTCCGGGAATGATGGGCTGATCTCACAGGCTAGAAAGCCTTGGTTCGATGGCACCTGTCCCTTCTAGGAGTTCCCATCTGCCCCAGGAACCCCTCTGAATGAAGATATTGCTTGCTCCCTGGCTTCTCCCCCAGCCCCCCAGTCTTACTAGGCAACTACAGACACTGGCTCCAACTTGAAAGAGGCCCTTATCTTGTCTCTAGGTTATTGCACTAAATCTGTTCCTTCCTTCAGACTAAACTCCCTAGCTAATTCCCTGTTATGAGTAAGTCAGCACGCACTACAAAAGCCAGCTTTGTTTATGAAAACACAAGCAAATCCACAGTAGGAGAGGGGCTGCTCCCAGGCTGGGGGTAGCAGTGATAGTGGGCTGTCTGGAACCAGGGCTGGAAGAGAGGCAGTTTGGGGTTGGAAGGGCTGGGGGTGGGGCAAGGTATTTGACAGACAAGGGTCTCGGTTTTGGTTCTGTTAAAGGACAGGGTGGGGGAGGCAGGGGTAGTCGAAGAGGCAGTGTGTGGGGAGAAGAGGATGGCATTGATACAGCTCCTTCCTTTGAACAGAGCGGGGGCCCATGCAGCACAAAGAGCAGTTTAAGAGCCAAGTGCTCAGGCTCCGGGACACAGTGACCTACCTGACTACCACAGACTCAGGCTTCCCCAACTCCCAAGTTCAACTTCTCCTTCTGGCCCAGCCACCTCCACACCCAGCTTGGTTTCAGGAGCTCAGGGATAACAGGCAGAAGAATCCTGTTCTCCTGGGCAAAGCCTTTGCCAGGAGGAATTTTCTTTTTGTCCGTATATATCTCTTCCTGGGTGTGGACACCATGGGGGAAGGGTGCAGCAAGAGGTCAAGGGGGAGGGGAGGCTGTCCCCAAGAGAACTGTAGTGCGCCAGCCTGGCTTCTGCCAGCACAGCCTTGGGGCTGGCCAAGCAATGAGCCTGGGAGGGGGGAGGGCCTCCCTGTCTCTCTCTTTAATTCCTAGAGGGATCTGTCAGAGCTCCCCAGTCTGGAATTTTACTTTGTTATTTCAATGCAATTCTGACCTGGATTTAAATGGAATTGAAAACCCAAGGCCTTAATAAATAAATATTATGATAAGAAATGAAAGCCATGCAAGACGAAAGATTTCCCCCCAAAGAGGCAGAAACACAACATTCTTGCCGGGAGCCAGAGTCACAGAAATTTTCTTCTCTTCTTCAGCCCCCTACCATCCCCTGAGAGATGAGTTGGTTTTCCCATAAAAGATTCTATTTTTCTTTAACATTTTTCCACTGATAAGGCAACAACTCCGAACTTTCTATCTAACTTTGCATGAGGACTGGGGACGAGGGACAGAAATCTATGACATGACTGAAAAGTTTTCACGCTCAGTCTCTCCAGGCCACAACTGAAGTTTCTGGCAACGTTTGAGAGAAGATTCTATCTCATACTTCTGGAGGACAAGAAGTCTTTCAAAGATGCTGGGGTGGCAGTGAAACAGGCAGAATTCTTAGGTGCGTGGTCACGTCTGCTCAGGACCCCCCAAACTTCTCACTTATCCGTGCCACCTCTGGCTCTTCCAGCGCCCAGAGGGCAGGTCCCCAGCCCGGGAGTGTGGTGCACCGTGCGGGTCCTGACAGCAGCAGACTTCCCAGCACCTGCCCTGCCCCTTGGAACTCGCGTCCCCGCCCTCGGGCCCCGCAGACTCGCAGACTCCGCAGCCCCGCGGCCGCGAGCCCCTCCTTCCTTACCTTGTGCGGCTTTGCTGTGCTGGGCGGCGCGGGCTTGGACAAGCAGGACGAGCAGGCAGAGCCCAGGCACGCGCCCCGAGCCCATGCTGGAGCCACCCGCGGCCGGGCGGCCGGGGCCGGTCTCGCAGCTCCCGGAGGGCGGAAGCGGGCCGGGCCCCCGCGCGCCGGAGGGGGGAGGGGAGGGGGCGCCCCTCCGGGGCCCGGCCGGGGGCTGGGGTGCGGGGCGCGGACCGAGGCTCCCTGGCAGGAGGTTCCCGATGCTGCCGTCTTCTCCCGACCCGACGCCGGGAAGAGCAAGGCGGAGAGCGCCAAGAGGCTGGGGCGTCCGGAGCCGCTGACGGAGGGGAACCCCCGCCCTCTCCTAGCCGGGCTGTGCTATCGGCGGCGGCGGGGCTGCTCCGTAAAATCCCACCCAATTTCCAGCTTCGCCCGCAGAGAGCTCCAGCAGGAGAGCGCGCAGAACCCGAGCGAGGGACCTGAGAAAGGGGAGGGGAAACGCAGCGCCAGAAACACGCCCTTTCTGCCTCTTTCTTCCTCTCTCTCTCTTTCTCCGTCTCTCAGGCTCCGTCTCTTTTTCTTCGCCTTTCTCCTCCTCCTTTCTCCTCCTCTCCTCGCTCCTTTTCCTTTTCTTCCTCCTCCCCCCACTCCTCCTCCACCACCTCCTTTTTCGTGCCCTTTTTTCTTTCAAATGGGGCCTCGGCGCGGCGGCCGCTCCCCCTGCGCGCCCGGGCGCGGCGGCCCCCTCCCCAGGCTGCCGGGCCGCTGCCTGCAGGAATTTACAATCCGACGCTGGGGGAGCGGGCCCGGTCTCCATGGAGACGGCTTCCCCGGGAGCAGGGAGGTCAGGCACAGACCGCGCACAATCAATGGATCAATGCAAGTCCCGCTCGGCTCCAGACCAAACTGCACCCGGCTCGCGCTCGTCCTCTCTCCCCGCAGAAAGAGTTGGGGTTTAGGGTGCGACCCCGCGCTCGCACGCGATGAGGGCCGCGGGATGCGGATTTGCACACACACCTCAAGCAGACAAAGGGAGTGCGGGCAGTCGGGGAGGCTGGGCCGGACAGGAGCACACAGGCACCCAAGCATGTCCCCTGACACAACCTGACACGCGGGACAGCCACAGCCACATAAGACCTCGAAAAACAGAGCAACTCGAAAGCGGGCCGATTAACGCCCTCTCAACTCCACCACACCTCTCACCCCCAGGACTCAATCCGTATTGCTAATGCTGTGTCCACTTTAATTGAGGACCAAGAAGAAACCAGCTTTCTCCCCAGCTGTAACCGCCAGCTCTAGGGCCTTGGAGGTAGCTCACTGAGCTACCCTACCCAAGCAGACCTGGGCTCACATATAAAACATTCTAGTGTACTGGGCACAGGGGAAAAAGCCAGCCTACCGAGATACGCGTGGGTGTGTAAGTACAAAGACACAAAGATATCTACAACATGCTTCTTCAAACCTTCCTTCGAAGCTTCAAGATGTCCTGACCAATCCATTAACCCTTTACCCCTCCAACTGCAAGGGCAGTTGAGGAAAGATAAATGAAAATTTAAAAAATAGGGCAAAGTATGCCAAAGAAGCAGTGTCCCTGAACCATGGACCCGGCCTCCTGACACATTCACCAGCTTTGCATCCTCTCTCCTTCCACCCAGGGGAGAGAGGGAAGACCTCTAGAAAGGTAGGGAGAGCTTTCTTGGAGAATGGGCCTTCAGTCTGACTGAGTCTATGTCAGAGTGTTACTTATGCTTCGGAGCTAGTTTTCTGCAGGAAAGAGACCACTGGGACCCAGCTAACTTCATAGAGCCCTGAGGGTACCCAGTAGAAAGGGACAGTGACCAGGGTCTCCCTGAATATAACTCAGTTCTTAGACCTTTGACACTGGCGACCCACATTAGCTGGGGTGACAGGCAGGCTTTGCTAGCAGTCTCCTTAGCCCTCAGGGAGAACCAAGCCCCTAGGGATTGAGAGGAAACGTAGGACAGAAACAGACTCAAGCATTTTAGTTTCTTGTCCCTGCTCTATCTCGGGACAAAGACTTCCTTTGGGCAAGTCATATCTCAGTGGAACCCGAGTGGGTCCACTGAGGGTTCCTCAGTGGGTCTCAGTGTCCTCATCTTGAAAAACTGGGTGAGGAGGCTTGAGAACCTGTCTGCGTGGCAGGGAAGACGATGGTTGGGATGAGAGCACGTAGGTCACGGAATGGCGTGGAGGTCACAGAAATGTTGGGTCAGATGATATCCAAGGTCCCTCCCAGCCCTGTCATTCCAGGACCTCCCTCTTTCATTCCATTGATAAACCCTCCTCTCGAAGCAGCTTCGCCTGCTGCCACCAATTATGTGTAGGGCTGAAGGGCAAGTGCAAACTTGCCATCATCTCTTTCCCAAACAAGAGAGTATTTTTATCAAAAGAAGAAAAAAGGAAGAATTGTAGGTTGCCAGACGAAGCCTGATCAATTTGGGACATAGGGAGGAGTCCCCAGGGTAGGAAGGGAGTGTGTACCGTGCCTTGCTCTGCACACTGGGTGGGGGGGCCTCTCTGGTTCCCTAGGGAGGAGGGCTCTGGCCACCCCGTGAACCACAGTTGAAGTGGGCATGGAGGAGTCTGTGGGGGTGGATCTATGGGTTGTCTCAGACCTGCAGTTCAGTGCAACTTGTTGGGCCTCTGAATGTGGACATTGCTCTGGCGTGGGGGAAGGGAGGCTTGAGTGGGTTATCCTGCCTTACCCACTATGTCTCTGTGTCCTTTACTCTAGTTTCCTCCCCCCACACTCATTTTGCCAGCATTTCACTTTGTTTCCTCTGCTCCTCTTGGACCTGCTGAGCTTCCTCCACACCTGGGCAGAAGAGGCAGTTCCTGCCTGGCTCCCTGCCCTCCGGTGTGGTACCAGCCCACTACCAGCCCTACAGAGAGTCGCTGTGAACTGGGTGCTGGTCCCATTGCCTTCTGCCCTGCCCACCTCTGCAGGGACTCACAACTGAATAGTGACTCAGAAAGATGACAAGGAAGGGACAATGAAGTGGCTCTTGCAAGTGGTACGCAGAAGCAGCAGTATATGCCACACCCTCACTTGCAGGGGCCAAATGTCCCTGGGTTCCCAGAGCCTCCCACACTCACCTCTCCGGCTGCAGTTTGCCTGGGCCTCACTTTCCTGTAGGGAGACCTCTGACATGCATTTCATTCTGATTTTTCCTGCACATGTCTAGGGAGAGGACTGGCCTGGGGGCCCACAGCTGATAACATCTCAGTTCTGATCCTGCTTAAGAATACCCCTGCCAGGGCTCCACCACATTCAAGGGCTTCCCCTCCCCTCCACGTCTCCTTCCATGAACCTTTGCTTTTTCTCCCTGCTCCTCAGCTTTAGCACCTGTGAAGTGGGTCCAGCGGCAGGCACGGTAGTCTAATGGAGAACATGTACACATTGGAACTAGACTCCCCCAAGGTCAATATCAGGCCCTACCATTTCCCAGCCATCTGTCCATTCGTGGTGAGTTATTTCATTTCTCTGAGCCTCAGTTTCATCGACTAGAGAGTGGGTATGGGCATATGAACTCAAAGGGAGGCATATATCACTAACTACATGGGCTCTAGAGTAAAGTAAACCACAGTTTTAGTTTCAGCTCTGCTACTTTATAGCTGTGTGATTTCAGGTAAATTACTCATCTCAGCGAGCTTCAGTTTTTTTCTTCTGAAAATGGGAATAAAAATACCCACCTCATCGGGTTATGGTGTTAATTAAATAAGATAATGAATGGGCCCTGGCTGGTGTGGCTCAGTTGAATTGAGTGCTGGCCTGTGAACCAAAGGGTCGCCAGTTCGATTCCCAGTTGGGGCACATGCCTAGGTTGCAGACTGGGTCCCCAGCTAGGGGCAAGTGAGAAGCAACCACACAATGATGTTTCTCTTTCCTCTCCTTCCCCCTCTCTCTAAAAATAATTTTTAAAAATCTTTAAAAAAGATAATAAATGGAAAATCTCCGGCACACAGTAGGCATTCAATAGATGATGGCCATTGCTGTTATTTCAGCTATTTCTCAGAAGGAACAAAGGCCACAGTGTTTGGTGGTAAAGCTACAGTAGCTCCTGGAAAGGGATAGTCTTGTCCCAGGTGAGACTTTGATGCCATTTGGTGTGAGCACAGGCAATCGGGCTTGATTTTCACCACCTCGTTAGGCTCCTGTCTATTATATATTCCTACTAAGAAGGTTCCAAAAAATAGCATGCATCATAGCACTGCGCCCTTGTCTGCAGCACTTCCAAGTTGGAGGCCGAAGGACACTCATCTGCCAGGAAGGGTAGCTCCAGAATTCCTCTTTCCCTGCCACTTTGCGTCTCCTACCCTGCCTTATGAAGGCACAGAGGCTCTGAGACACAAATTAGAGCTCATCGTTACCATTTACTGAGTGCTTTCTATGTGCCAGGCACCGTGCCAGGCACTCCACTACCAGTATATCCAGCCAGAACTGTTATACCCATTGTGTTGATGGGAAGACTGAGGCTTAGACAGGTCAACCTGTCCAGACGGCTGACTAAGAAGAGATGAAGCAGGATTTAGGCCCAGGCCTGATTCTGAAGCCTGTATACCTCCTCCGTCCCCTATACTGCCTCCTCGGAATCCACAGGGCCTAACACAATCTTGCCACTGTCACAGTTGGTCATCTGGGGCAGGCCGTGGGGCAGAGGCTAGCCCCTTCACACACCAGCGGCAGCAGAGTAGCACCCTTGCTCTGGAGGATCACGCAGGAGTAGGAGCTCACAAGACTTTAGCCACCACCTTTGTCTGATGATGGAGGTCACACGATTTGCCCAAGGTCACACAACGTACTTAAGAGACAAAGCCAGGAGCAGAATCCATGTCTCCCTTGACTCCTGACTCCTGGATCAGTGATTCTTCGCCTGTCCCCTCGGAGCTGCCCGTCCTCCCGGAGCTGCCCATCCCCCGCACCTTGCAGCTCTCGAGATTCCTCTTCCTGATGATCTGATCAGCCACGAATCCTCCTGCCAAGTGTGATACATTTCTTATCTCATACCTTCTCCCAACACACACTGTCCTGGGCCCTTTAAAACACACACACACAAAAGGAAAACA